GAAAGCAAATAAAAATAAACTTTTTTTGGTTTTATAATCAATATATACTTTATTATTTAAAGTTTATATCAAAGAAGAGCAGGTTGACGCATAAAAATAGAATTTGGTTAAACTTACAAACTAGTAATAATGTTGTTTTGGTCCTTATTTGCCATTCTAAATCAGCACGAAATAATTAAAACAATACACGACAAAATAACCAACTTTTTGAAATCTAAATAACTTTAATAAGCAATATCAATACGCTACAAGTCGTTGAGAACAAATAATTAATGTGATGTTCTATTTGTCAATAAAATGATGCGTATGCAACTAACAATACAAGAAAATAATATTGGTTGCCTAGATGTCAGTAATGTTTTACCAAAACACAATTTTAAAAATAATCCAGTTAAAATTATAAAAAATATTGTATGTAACAACGTTACGAAATGCTATTTAATGTAACTTCATGTTGCGGGACCTCGCTATGTACATAAAATAAGGCATTTCGTAACTGGTTGCATAAATAGCTATTAAATCGTTAGTTTTATATAAATCACATTTGATGGCATGGTACAACATAGATAAAATGATGATTACCTTTTTAATTATTGAACTGGCAACACTATATTTATAGACGTTTCTCAAAGGCGCCAGATATGATGGCAACAAATGTTTTAAAAACCATAACTGTAACGTTTATTTATTTAATTTATTCACCCTAATTTATTTTAATACCTTATGTACTATTTTATATCCCAGAAACGCTATCTAACAAAAACTGAACTAAAATGACAAAACAGTCTCATTTATATACAAATGAGGCCATTCCCGCCGCCAGAATAAAAATACATCACTACCCACCAAAGAGGTCCAAATAAGACAAAGAGGGACTTAGAATTAGAGCAGGACCAGACTGGCCGAAAATGGCTCGCACGACAAAACTATAAATGTTCAAGAAAAAACTTGTGTGGTTTATTGTTCTATGGAAGATCTAATATTTTCCATAACAATCAAAATGATGTAATTTTTATGTTTTTAAGATCGAGATTGGACACTTGGATATCCTCTTTATGTAAAAAAATTCTTTAACGGTACTTCCAAGGCCAAAAATGCATTCAGAAATGGTAAAAAAAAAATCAAATTTAGCCCGTTCATGCTTTGACAGATTTTTCCAAAATGAAGTAGTAAAATGTGAATACAAGCAGTCGGTTTAAGGTGATTACAGCACCCCCTTATAATTTTCGGACAAGGATATCTCAAAAAGTTATTTTCTTAAAAAATTAAAATTATGGCAAAATAAATAATGCAATAAGTTTTAGTTCTCTCCAGTTTCCGAGAAAAAAAAATTAAAGGTCTTTAAATTTTGAAATATCATGATGAAAATAAATGCATTCCCCAAAAGCACTATTCTTAATATAATCCATAAATTTAAGATACTAATGTCTTGTTAATGATTTTTTAAAATTCGGCAAAATTAGTGACTAGAATGTCTCTTTAAGTGCTATCTTCTGGTGTAAACTGGTGTAAACTAGTATAAATCATTTCAGGAAACGAATGATGATTGAAAGTGTACGATACGATAGTGACAGTCGCGCTACAACAGAAGACCTAACGAGGCGTTTTGGCCACTAATCTTGGCGAATTTTAAAAAATCATTAACAAGACATTAAGAGCTCAAAGAAGATTATATTAGGAATAGTAATATTTCAAAATTTAAAGCCCTTTGATTTTTTTCTCGGAAACTGGAAGGAATTAAAACTTTAAAATATATGAATATTCTAGATATTATTGCCTAATATATTTTGCCAAAATTTTAATTTTTTAAAAAATAACTTTTTGAGATATCCTTGTCTGAAAATTATAAGGGGGTGCTGTAATCATCTTAAGCATTGAACCAAATTGTTTGCGAATTCTCAATAACAATAAGACCAAAATCCACTGGATGTTGCTTTCTCTATACAATAGTTTACTTTATATCGTAATTTATAATATACGATTCAATTTCCGAACACTTCCCATTGTCTAGACCTACGAAAATTTAATTTGCACTGTTTACGTATTCACAGAGAATCGCCCCAACTGTACTGCCGAGAATAATAAAAATTCAAGATGCAGAGGAATTACGAGATATCGATCGTGGGAAGATAAAATGTCGAAAACAAAAAAACAAAAAAAAAAACGGTTTTGATATAGATAGGAAAGTGCAATGGCATTAAAGCAATTTGATTTGAACAGAAAAGAAATGGCATTTATGTAATTGATGTAATTTTAAAAAGAACGGAGTGTATCCGACTAGAAACGGAATCGAAAGTGACATACCAAATCGATTTGGGATTCTCGAGGGCATTCAAAAGTGTAAATAAAATATATATGAAGCACGTTCTTTGGTTGACATTTTTCTCTTTAAATTCGTAATGAGATATTGTAACAACGTAATTTAAAATTATGGCACTTAGTATTTCAAATAAATCATAAATACCAGTTTCTTTCATTGAAGTGCAAAGCGATAAAAAGCACATTCATTATTCAAAGAAAAGTTATCCACTTAATTAACAACTTCAATCTTACTAAACATCTCCTAATTTATTTCAAAGTTACTTATATTTTGTCCAAAAATGACAAGCATTTTTCAACAAGTACTTCAGTTACTCTCTCTATGGCCCATATAAATATAGTACAGTAAACATAAGAACAACAATATATTTAATTATTCAATCTGTAGTTAATTTAAAAATCTCACACAAATCAAAACCAACCCTGGCAAATGCAGAAATTCAGTTTAACGTATTTCAAAGTTCCAAGAAAAACATTCCATTAGCTAGATAACTACCCACGCGAGTTTTCTCACTTTATGGAAAATTTTTGTGTTTATTTCAAGATGTACTTTTCTTACAGGCCTGATGATGATCAAATGTAGCCGAAACTAGTTGCCCCTTTTTGAATTATAATTATTGTGATTAAAACCTTAATCTTAAAACCGTTAAATTAGACGGGATAGATATAGAATGGAAAAATGAAGTCAAATATCTAGGCCTAACCCTGGACAACAAACTTTTCTGGAACACACATGAGAAGGAAGTAGTAAATAAGGCCACAAAAGCCCTAATAGTATGCAGAAACATTGCGGGAAAACGATGGGGATGTAACCCAAACATACTGCGATGAATGTATACTGCAATAGTGAGACCAATCATCACTTACGGGGCTATAGCCTGGAGTAACAGAACTAGTTTAGCTACTACGAGAGCTAATATCTCAAAAGTACAAAGACTAGCCTGTATGCATTACTGGTGCAATGAGAATCTACCCTACGGCCGCAATGGAGGTGATCTTAAACCTCACCCCTCTACATTTGATGATAGAGAATGTGGCTAAAAGAACACGATATAGAATGATCAAGAACGGAGTAATTAGATGAAAGTCTACTTGCTTCAGGACCAAAGATACCTGGGACATGCCCCAGGATGAAATGCTAAAGAAGTACAGTTTTGTGAAAAACTTCAAAACCACAGAGCTGGGCTGCAAGAAAGAATGGAGCTAAGAATCCAACGCGCTTGCAACCGAAAGACATGCTATTCAGTGGTATACGGACGGTTCCAAAACCATAGAAGGAACTGGAATAGGAGTGTATGGGCCGAGAACCAATCACCCCGAAAGCTTGGGAAAATATCCAAACATCTTCCAGGCGGAAATTCACGCCATCGAGAAGTGTATCCAGTTTACCATCGAGAGAAACTATCATAGACAAGAGATTATCATCATGTCCGATAGTCAAGCAGCCATCAAAGCGCTGAGCTCTTACGCAATCAGCTTAAAAATGGTTTGGAGATGCCTAGAACAATTGAATGAGCTAGGCGAGAAAAATAGTTACTCTCACTTGGGTCCCGGGACACAACGGGGTATAGGGTAACGAAATTGCAAGGAAAGGGGCTCAAACACCCTTTGTAGGACCTCAGCCGTTCTGCGGTATTAGCAGTAACATAATATTAGGAGAGATTAAACAAGAATTGGGCAGTAGAAGAACAGATAATTGGGACAATCTCTTGGGCCTGAGACAGGCTAAGATACTTCTGGGTGAATATAACCAGAAAAGATCGGAAGCCTGCATCTGCCTGAGCAAGAACAGGCTACATATTGTAACAGGGATCCATACCGGACATTGCCAACTAAAAGGACACCTTAGTAAACTGAGAGTAGTAGAGGATAGGAAGTGCAGATTCTGTGAGGAGGAGGACGAAACCTCCATTCACATTCTAACTGAATGTGTAGCACTAAATCTAGGAGGATATCAAATAGAAGAGGGAGATTTACCTAACTTAAAGCCACTCCAAATACTACACTTCCTTGAGAAAATAGGATTGGAAGGGTCGTTATAGGCATTGAGACATTTCCTTGGTGCATTAGCGACAGAAGGGGGCACAATAGATCTTTTAGGTCGCAGTGTATGTAACACCCCATTTCCAACATAACATATTTATTTGTTGTATACAAGATTTCCTTTTACTTATTTATTTGTTGTATACAAGATTTAGAATAGAAGAAAATTATTAAATTAGAATGATTTAATTTTACAGAAAAAAAAAATTGGTCGTAAAGTGCAGATAGGAGGTTTTGGGACGATATGTAATTGCAGATAAGCTGATCTACGTCTATTTGATGACTCACTTAGACCGAATCTCGTTGTAGGATGAAAATCTTCTTAAATTGCAAACCCAAAAGGTTATCTATGTCGACATAGTCGAACATTACGCGTATTAGATCACTATTTGTAAATCCTAGCTACGCGCACGGTTATAACTTCTGAGGAAGGAAGATAAGGTAAACATAAATTTTAGACGCAAAGAATGACTCAGTCGTTTCGCGTTGTTCTAAATGTTACCCAGAGGAATTTACTTTCCACATGAATAATCTTTGAGAGTGGTTGAAAAAATCGCGGTCAAAAACAAATTCATTCTCTATAAATATGCAATTTCGTGTGGTATTTTTGTAATATATATTTTTTCTTCTTTTTTTAGGGTAGGACCTACAGGAGTAACGCACAGCTTAAGTTTTATAATAAAACTTTTGCCACAGGATCCGTTCAGTAGATTTTTCGTGACCGAAGCTCAATTCGATCTTAGGGAGATAAAATTTTACACGCAAGTAAGTATCGTTCAATTCTGGTAATCAGGCTTGAAAATCTATATGTTTAAAGTTGTACATAGCGCCAGTTTACAATTGTTTTTTTTTTATTTCGTTCGAGTTTACATGTAGTAAATTTGTTCGGGATTATAAATTTATCAATAAACGTTTAGGTTCTGGGAAAATTTAATTTGTTAAAGCGCCGGATATTACAAAATAGAACGAAGACAATATCGATTGGTTGTTAAACTCGTTATTTTGTGGCACAACAATGTTTTTATTGACTACATTACATAATCATAAATATAGATAGCATATTTTATATAATGAGGGTTGTAAGTAGCATATTACATTCGAGTGGATAAACTAAATAATACGTTGGGGACGTAATATCTTTACAAGTCGAGTTACATGTGAATTATTTTACTATTTTAAGTGTGGAATAGATATTCCACATAAGCTGCTACCTGAAGAGCCCCAAATATTAATTTAGATCTATATTCAAACAATTAATGCAAGCATATAATTATTATTACTTACATTAATGGTGCAATTGTTGGATTATTTATTCCAGCTTTGTTAGTGCTAATATGGTATTCCTGCTATATTTGGAATATTGTAACATCCAATGACGGTAAAATCATTACTACTGAGCTTAGTAATAACTCATGGACTTAGAAAAAAAAGTTATTCTGGGTAGGAAATGTTCAGATAACATTGCTACTATAAAAGCATGTTGGGGGAATGAGGACAAGGTGGTGGGCCACTGTTATTATTTATATGAGTGTAATGGAAATTTGTAGTAAAGTGAAGCAAAAAAAAGACGAGAAAAATACACGTGACCGATCCCGCCTATAAGATCCATTTAAATTAAAAAAACGAATTATTCTAAAATCATTCAGTGTCACATATAAAAACATTTTGACCATTTATGTATACTTAAACAAACACTCTGATGTATAAAAAAGAATAAATATTCAACATTTATACATATAGACTAATTTCCATAATTACTCAAACCAAACCCTAATCGTCGGTGGTTTGATGATAAATCGAGAAAATTTGATGTTTGTAACATATCGGGAATACACATTTATCATAACTTGCGTAAATCATAAAATCAATCAATAGAAACACATTCAAAAAAAAGGTATGAAAGAAAACTTGTGATTTATTGTACCTGTAGATGTTAATTTAAAAAAAAAAAAATGTTCGTGATGAAGAAAAATTCTGAAGCATTGGATTTTATGTACAGTTTTCAACAGTACCCCACTTTTATGTCAGTTAAACGGGACGGTAGCGTAGGTATCTACGGCGCTCGCATTTATTTGCGAGCCAATTTTGGGGTAGAGACACCGGGCTTGGAATCCTACAGAAGACCATATTAATTTATTTCAATGGTTCTCTATAGGATTTGATGGATGTCGTATTAGCAGAAATTTCTGTTGATATGACATCCAGACTTGTAAGTCAAATGGCGCCATCAATCATTTTTAAGTCGCCCCGGAGGGCCACGGCAAATAATAATAGCCGTCCTTTCCCCTACACAAGTCACTCAGTCGGCTTCAGGGGTTGAAGTTCACTCGTAAATGGGTGAATTACGAAGATTATTATTATTATAAATCCGTCAGTGTCATTGTTTTAGGAGTACCACTAAAGTTATCAATATTACTTTTAGCCAATTAATTACATCAATTTGGTCACATGGAATGCAGGTATTGCTAAAGACTATATTTCATGCGTGTAAGTCTTCTTTCCTGTCCAAGTCTAACTAATTTCTTTAAAATAGCTTCAAAAATAAATATGACAATGTCATTTCATTTTCAATTTTATTAAAAAACTTTTTAAGATTTCCTTCAACTAACATAGAAAATGAGGTGGAAGTTTACACGGTTAAGGTTTGACCTGTCTAAATAATGGTGGAGAATTGCATTAACCTAAAATTTAAGAAAAAAAATGGTATGGAAAATACACTTTCTGCATTTTTTGATTCAAACTTACAAATATAATGGATACATTAAATTAATATACACTGTGGACCAAATTAAAATTGTACACATTTTAACCAGTGATTATTATCAAAATATTAAAAGATTACTTGTTGCACATAATTAATTAGTTCGTTGTCAATTGATTAGGTAAAGTATATCTATACCTGTATCGTCTCAAAAATACATGCATCGATCCAACGTAGTGTTTGTATTTTTATTTTTATCCATTATGTGTTTAATTGTATCATAATAGTATTTATATTTTGTCTCATCAGATAAATTAGTTGGAACTAGGCCGCAAACGTTAGGTAAATTATCTTAAAATTTCTTTGGCCTTTTTTCATTAAATATACGATTTTTTTATGTAAAGTTTTCGTTACAATTATTATTAATTTTAAATTAATTTTATTAAATATTCAAAATTAGTTATTACTATTTCAAAATCTTATGGATTTTTTCAAGAAAATTTACAAAAAATAAAAATTGTGGGCATATATGTAGAAAAAGTCATAATTTCAACTGTTTTATTTAATTATAGAAGGTGCCACACCCTCTCGCTCCCCTCTCCCGCTACTGTACGGTAGAGGTAATATTTTTATATAAGTACGTAATAAATCAGGTCTATTGCAAATGTGCCAAAAATTTGATTTTTATCTCCACCCTAAATGTAAATATTATTATGATAAACTTATACATGTAATTAAAAAAAAAAATATTGTATGGGCCGAGACTCGACCGGGAAATCACTTGCTTTAGTAGCAGACGCCATATCCATTACACCACATTCACTCGATGCTTGTATTTGCGAGACGGTGTTACACTGGGTCAAAAAAAAATGACTATTTTTTTTTTGAAAAATATATCGAGAATGTTATTCAGGATGACAAAAAAAAATTTCGTGAAAATTTCGTGAAAATTTGAGCCCTTAATATTAATTTTAAGAGGTCTATCATCACTATTTTTGATTTTTAGCCATAATTTGATGGTTTACGTTAGAACTGTTAAAACATTAAAGTGAAAAAAATTCCTTTTCACTTATTTTTATATAAAATTCTCTACAAAAAATTTCAATTTTTTTCTTCGATTTTAATCGTGAATAACTTTTGAAGAATTAAATTTAGGCAAAAATTTTAAGAGACATTTTTTGTAGAACATTAAATTTCCTTTAAGAATCCGACGTGAGCTTTTTTAAATATTCATTGATTCATTAGTTACAAAATTTCAAAGTAAAAAGGACAAATCGAAAAAACACATCGATATATTAAGCTCAATTACTCGGAAACGGCTCGTCTGACGAAAATTTTCAATCAGACCTTTTTTGTAGAGAATTTAATTTTATATAAAAATAAGTAAAAAGGAATTTTCACCCTAATGTTTTGATAGTTCTAACGTAAAACATCAAATTATGACTAAAAATCAAAAATAGGCCTCTTAAAATTAATATTAAGGGCTCAAATTTTCACGAATTTTTTTTTGTCATCCTGAATGAGATTCTCGACATATTTTTCAAAAAAAAAAAAAAAATTCAATTCAATTCTTTTGGCCCAGTCTACGCTGTATATACTATAAATTCGGAGAGTTAGGAATAAAATATCCGCTCCGACATAGGTAATTTTTTCTTGGTTTACTTTAGATTATTTGATCAGTATAGTCCTGATTTAAATCTTCATGATTTCTTTACGTTTCCAAAAATCAAACATTTTCGTTATCAACGATTTTCAAAAACAAAACATGGAGTTGAAGCATTTAAAAATGAACTTTTGCATGTACCATCTTCAGAATGGAATAAATGTTACGACGATTGGTTTATAAAGATGAAAAAATGTATCAAGGGATATATTTTGAATAAAAATAAAGCAACTTTTATAATTCTAAATATTTCTATTTCGAGATTAAATGCAGCATTTTAGAAAAAGTTGTTTAATCCCAGTTCTATCACAAATAACTAAGTGAAATTTTTAACTAAATTAAATTAATTAAAAAAACAAAATAAAAACCTTACCAAAAAAAAATTCCTAATTGTGTAAAATTCATAACTAAATTAACAACTAAAAATAACTAAATTAAAAACTAAGAAAATTCGTAAGAGAGTAAAATGCATGAATGAGTAAAAATTATAACTACATGAAATGGATAATTATGTAAAATTTATAACTAAGTAAAATTCAAAACTAAGTAAAACTCTTGACTAAATAAAATCTTTTGCTAAATATAATTCATAATTAAGTAAAATTCATAACTAAGTGAAATGTATAACTAAGTAAAATTCAAAATTTGGTAAACATCTTAACTAAATAAAATCCTTTGCTAAATATAATTCATAATTGATAAATATTCATAACTAGGTGAAATTCATAACTAAATTAAAAAAGTAAAATTTATAACAAGATAAATTCATGACTAAAAAAAAATTAGTAACTGACTTTAATTAATAATTGAGTAAAATTTAGAACTAAGAAAAATATATGTAAAATTCATAACTAAGCAAAATTGGACATCCTATAAAAAATCTATCAGCCTATCTACTCTCCAAAAACGAATTAAATAGATGAAATAGTTAAAAAGTTATTAATGATTAAAAAGTGTAGAAGTTTAATTTGGCCCACAGTGTAGTTCTGGTTCTAATAATCAATTGTTTTATACTATGCTTTACAAATGACTTAACTTAAAGAATCAATAAATATTATTGATATTACACCTATCCTTCCTAGTCTCAAGAAATAAAACGAACAAAACTCAAACGCCACCTTCGAAAAGGTGGTTAAAGAACGTTTGCGTGCACGCCTCCTCATTGCGAGAACGAACAAACGACCTAATTAACGTCATCAACGTCTCTATCTTTATTATTGACACCCCGGCAACGAGTTAATTAGCCTAATTGAGGCATCGCTGAGGCGTAAATCATTCGATTAATTAGGTATGCCTTTCTTCCTTTTCCTACGTGTCCGTTTTGCATTTTACTCTGGAACAACTCATTCATATTGAAAACAATTTCGTGTGACTGTAGCATTTCAACGGGAGCTTCATTGAAATTAGGTTGACTATATTACAGGGATGTACATAATGTGTCTTTAAGATCTAAATCACTACAATTCTATGAATTTCCAGATTTCCGCGATTGCAATGTTTATATTCTTGGTTAAATATTCAATTTTATGTATCAGTTCAATTGCTATAGTCTATTTTTATGTATGAGAGAGTATTAAAATAATAAAGCGTTCGTAATCCATAGGCGTAACACTTCTTTTAGTAGTTAAAATATTTTTTGAAGTTATTCCTCGAGTATACATTTATATTTTCACCTAATTAACCTGCTTATAACTTCTAAACAGCTGAAGGTAAAAAAGTGCAATTTTTTCTAAAATGTTTTATTTTTCCACAAGGTATGTTAAGAACATTGTGTCAAACGGGTTATGTAGGTATAATGCTTTAAACTTTGACTTTTAAACAACGTTACGTTCATAAATAATAATTTTAATATAAAAACTACTTCTTACCTACAAATCCAAATCAGAATCGAAATCAGAAGATGAACTGTCGCAACCAATATTTACAATGAATGGCTCGATCATTTCATCAGTAATATTGTCCAACTTCCACATTTTCTCTTATTCTTTAATCGTATGATTTACTGCCTTTTTCCCAGTTTTCAGGCTCCACATTATTTACAGCCTCCAAAAACAACTGTTTAACATCACTCATTTTAAAAGAATTATTTTTTCTTGAAACTTCTCCCTTTATCTGTGCCCATATCAGTTCAATCGGGTTTACTTCGCAATGATATGGTGGTGATCTAACCACCGTCATCCCACGATTTTTTGCAATTTCATCAATTTCATATTTTTTGAATTTCTCTTTATGAAGGGAACACAAATGATACAGTTCTTTTCTTACAGAACCGGGATGGAACTTAATATTCTTTGAATTAAGCCAATTCTGTAAATCTTTTTTTAACCACTTGGTTGTGGGCATTTTTTCTATAAGTCTCGAGTGATAACTTTCATTATCCATTACTATTATACAGTTCTGAGGAAGAAGATCTATAATTTGTTCGAACCACTCTTTAAAGACATCAGCATTCATGTCCTCATGGTAGTCACCGGTACGAGTAGATTCAAAAGTCAATAAACCACCTTTAACAAAACCGTTTGAACTACCGGTGTGTACTATTATTAGTCTGCGCCCCTTTCCTGATGGTGGATTTAAACCAGTAGATTAATTATTTAAAAAAGCCTGCCTTCGATTTGTAACAGTTTCATCTTGTCAAAATTTATTTGGTTTATGTCCCTCGTTGATCCATGTTTCATCTAAATAAAATATATTTCTTCTTTGGTTTCTGATTTCTTTTATAGTCCTTAGATAATTTCTTCTCCATACTACAATATCGCTTCTTTCTATTAAAATAGACTTTCTGGAATGCTTTTTCCATAGAAAACCTATTTATTTTAAAAGTTTCCATAGTGTGCTTCGACTCATTTCAGGGTAATCCTTATCATCTCGAACCGTGGCAAGAACTTTGTCTACTGTCGGAAATTCTTTTCTAAAGAAGAACGTATGCACTTTCCTTCGAAGTCTTTCTTTTAAAAGATTTTGGAATTTTGGTTTTCCCGGAGCTTTACGTGCTGTTTGAAACTCGCCACATTTCTCTTCTTTAACAACTCTGTAAATCGTAGATTTCCCAACACCAAGCGTACTACTAATTCCACTGTGTCATCAACCCTTTTACATAAATGTTTGTCTGTAAATGATTTAAAACAATTAAATATTAATGTTTTTTCATTAACTGTTAAATGACCCATTTTTTGTCGTTTACGCGGCCCTTCCAAATTTTCCATGATCACACTAGAATTCACACTGCACCTTGCAAGTTGCAACTAAACGACATTTAGTAAACTGTCAAGAATACACAACTTGGACCTCCTTACTAAATGGAAAACCTATAATCGCATTTTCGGTGAAATTTATTGGGAAGGTATTTATCTACTTATAATTCGATTACTGTAAGAAATTCTTGGAATTAAAATAAAACAAAATTGGCAAATAGGTACTTATTGAAAATAATCTTAAGATACGGCTATGTAATCTTTAATACACAGGGCTTTTGGCTTGTCCAAACCTTTTTCTATTGTTCTGTACAGCTTATGTTTATAAAGGACCAATAAAAGACCCAAAACTTGTAATAGCTCAGGTACATTTATTACAATTTTAGGAAATATTTAGATTATTCTGTAAAAATATTTAAAATGACCGTACTGTTTTGCATTAGAAATGCTGTTTTATTACTCTCTCATACATAAAAATAGACTATACAAACGTATAAATAGTCAGGAAGTCCATAAATAAGATGTGCTTGCCGACCATTTCCCCATCAATCCCATACAAAAAACCAATTTGATAAATTGCATGGTAAAAAAAACACTAAAACATTTTGTATCAATGGCGTTGGTCTAACGCCAAAATGACAACAATGCCAAAGAGAAAGAATGTACGGAAGCAGAAGGCTGTTTTGAATTGTACTCACACAAATCGGGTATATCACGGACATTTAGAGCTGGATTGCAACAAATTCGTAAATGTACTGCACTGTATTTATCACTAATTCCAATGCAACGCTGGAACCATCTGGAACTCTAGAGTCTAGAGCAATCATATCCGAACTTACACAATCATCTTGGCTTATTTTAGAGTAGTTTGTCACATTTTGTGAGGTTAGAGGTAAAAGTGTTTAGGCAATCATGGCGCTATATCTTTTTGTGAAATTTGAAAATAATAAAAATATTTTTGTAATTTTCTGAAAATTTGGGGACATTTGGAATCGCAGATTCTTAATAACCCATCGGAATTAAGATTTTCCTAGCACGAATCTTAATAATTGTCTTTTTTATTTTTGATATAATTAATGGAATGAGGATTTAACATTGAAGATCTTTATTTTGTTTTATTCCAAGTGCATTAAAACAGGCCTTTTAACTATTGTTTCTTATAATAATGTGAGCAAAGTACTGAGAGCTAAAGAGCTATGTTTGTATTAATATTTATAGACGTTAAGTGCTTCTAAGTAGTTTCTTGTGAAAATTCTCATTCACCGATTACATGAAAAGCTCGCGCTTCCATTAAACTTCAGTAGAAGTTTTAACACTATACATTGTTTTGAACATCGTCTGTATAACTTTTTAATAGACAGATAACTTTATTTTCTAATTTATCAATTAAGACAGTAACCTGTGAACTAGCTTTTAATTCGAAGGAACTTAACTTATTTAAGAATAATTCAACTTCCATTTACCTGTCGCAATTTATTTGTCAGATTGGTTTGACCGTAGCAGAATTTTATATAAATAAAAATTTCCTTGATTTATTCGGTCGTTTTTATTTTCTATTATTTAGCACAGCACTACATATGTTTCGGAAAACTTTTCCATCTTCGGGTGCAGTCAAAATTTAAAAACAACATAGGGACGATTACAAACAAATTAAAATATTTTTAAAATAGCAGAAATCCCATCTTTCTGTTTCAGCGTGTGAAGATGTATCCGAAAAAAAAAAAATAGAAAATAAAAACGACCGAATAAACCAAGGACATTTTTATTTATGTTAAATTTATAAAGTTGCTGTATTAAAATAAGATGTAATTTTTCTATGAAGAGCAATTTCACTCGTTTATTATTTTCAGAAAAATATTATCACACTCATTTGATTAGCTATCTAATCAATATTCTACCAATTTGCATAAATTATTTTAAAATTATAATAAATTAATATTAAATTCCTATAATAATTTAAAAATATATCTTTAAAATTGGTTTTATTGACTTATTTATAGTATATCAAGATCAAAGATATTAAAAAAGTGAATGGACCCTCGACAATTTAAATTCTAAGAACAATCTAAAAATAGCAATAATTTACATTATTTGCTTTTTTCAGGTCGTGCCCGAACTACAATTATTTAAGCAAAAAACAAGTGACTCAGAAGATGTAAGAATCCCGATTCCAAAATGTTATTACGCCCATTATACAGCAGGTAGGTAACGTTTTTTTTTATCTTAAAATGGCACCATTATCTTATTATTAAACCAAATTATAGTTCCGATCATAAATGTTTCTGCATAAAATATCAGGTTTATAACCGTAATAAATACACATTTAATTCATTATAATGATTGTTAAAAAAATATATAGGTCAATGATCGACTTGTCGAGTGATAAAACAATATTAACTAAAAAAAAAACAAAAAACTATTTTCGATCTACCCTTGTACGGTTGTAATATATTACACAAGGTTATGTTCTATAGATTCGTAAATTTTATCCCCTTTTATCTGATGCTTTTCTTATTCCTTTATAGTCCTAAATATTATTTTCAACATCCATTTTTGTAGTGATTGTCTATCATTTATAAGAAGTAGATGTTTATTTAAATCGTTAATTATTTTTCTACACCCACATGTGTATTATCTATTCTACTCACAAAACGAAAATATTTCATATCCATTCTGGTTAGAACACTGTACGGATATGAAATCCACCATTTACAGTGTCACAGTTCATATTTGGTCACCAGGATATTAATTTTAAATAAGTAACAATTCTGTCAAACTGATTGTTATTGAGATTAATTATAATAAAAGGAGTGATTCTTGAAGAAACAATAAATAATAGCATTCAACAAGATATTCGTCTATATTTTCAAATAAATCGCAAATTTTAATAAGTAAAACTATCTAAAATGAATTTAAATGACTTTATTTTATTTTATAAATTAGTAAAGTCATAAATTATTTTTAAAATATTCATTTTATTTCAATATCCTAAGTTCATTTTTAAAATTTGTGTAATTTCGATTAAAGGGCCGTAGAAAAAATATACTGTACAACTCGAGTGGAATGTCCGTATCGCACTCAGACGATTGAGCACTTCGCATACGGCGTCGTTGCCTATTATATCCACTCTTGTTGCACAAACTACTATTGTATCCTAGTTTTCTCTAGCACGTTTTTTGTTTTAAACTGTTCATCGTTTCCAGGTATTTGAATTTCCTTGCTTGTTCTATCGCTCCTTATTTTCGTCTATTTCAAATATTTAATAAAATATTTACGTTATTTCAGGAACAAATGATCCTGACCCCACACCACCCGAATCCGTCCTAGTACTAGAAAACATCAAACCCTTGGGCTACAACAGCGCCGACTTCGCTAGAGGTCTGACCCTTCGTCAAACGAAAGCAGCCGTAGAAGCGATAGCTCAAATACACGCCCTTTCGCTTTGCCTCAAAGTGAAAGAAGGAAAAGGGCTATCAGAACGCTACCCGTTCCTGTTCCAAACCAACAGAGCATCCGATTCCTACCAACAATTAGTAGAAAGAGGTTTGCCGCAACTGTCCCAATTTCTAGAACGCAAGAAAGGTCTGGAGGACGTGCTGGCCGCTTTGAACGAGCTCCGAGCTTACACCAAGGACATCATCGAGAATTTACTAGCTCCTGAGGAGCCGATGGCTCTTATCACCCATACGGACTTCTGGTGCAACAACCTTATGTTCAAGGAAGACGAAGACAGCTGCATATGTTCCATTCTCGACTGGCAAATGGTGACCTACAGTCGTCCGACCAACGATCTGGCCCTACTTCTTAACAGCAGCGTTCCAGCTGAGCTCAGGAGACTCCACAGCAGCTCTTTACTAGACGAATACTGGAACGCATTGACGGAAACGTGCAGAAAATTGAAGTTAGACGTGGAAGGCGAATTGGGATACGATCGAAAAAAGTTGGACGAGGATTTCAAGAAGTCTCAGTTGTTGGCCCTGCTGCTGTGCATAGGGTCGGTCGATTTGGCCATCGGTAACGCACAAATGGAGGAGAGATTGTTAGAATTGCTTAAAGATTTGCACGAGGATGGACTGCTCAATGCCGATATTGCGATAAAAGCTCAAAATTAAGGCATCACGTGTTTTTTTTCTCGAATAATTCCATCAAGTAAATTAAATAATCGATATTTTGGCTTGTTCTATTTATCAAACATATCACAAATGTTTTCATCTATATTAAACATAGTATAATTACTGATGCTAAACGTATTTTTATTTTCAATAGTTGTACCGACATGCAAGAGTTGTTTTTGAAGTTTGATATAAACAAAAATGGTTTCCCATCACAGAAAGAAATTAATGCTCATATTAAGCAAAAAATAAGCATTTTCGAGCTTGTTTTTGAGCCACAATCTTTAAGAAATTTTTAAGTACGCATGCTAAAAAATTGTTGATTTTTTTTTAAATTAACGTTGGTGCTTATTTATAGCTTTTGATTTAAAAATTGAAGACAGTCTAAGCAAATTCTCATTTCTTCACAAAATTACAAGTGGAGTATGATTTTAGAGCAGTTGAATAATTTTTTCTCGTCTACCTCGACTTTTTTAGATCTATTATGGAATATGTGATGAGTCAGAAGTTGAAAGTAGGACAAAGCTGGTCTGTTGATTGTTTGCGCTAGTGTTCTTATTTGTTTGAGAGCTATTGTCAGCATATCTTTATGTCTTCAAGAGTTGGATGTGCGAATAATATCAGTCTAAGATAAAAACGGAGCTGATAGATTTTGAGTCTTAGATCCTGTTGTCGATTGTATAATAAATTAACTAAGAGTACATTATTTTTAAATTGTGGTTAATTTCTCTGGGAATAAACAAAGATGTCTATGAAATTGTGTGGTTACTGTTTGTCTGAGGGTGGTTTTCTAAAAAATCAAAAACAACAGAATGATGGATAGCGCCATCTCAGACATTTATCAAACTTTTTAAACAACTTTCGCACCAATTATTTGTCAATATCTGGGTTATTTTTTTGATGGTGGAATTATTTATGCAAGGGTGGCCGGTGTTGTTAAGTGATATTGTAAGATTAAAAAAATACGTACTCAGATATATTTTGTAAGAGTTTGAAAATTTGAAAAGTTGGGCAAAAGGTCACGTTTTATGTAGATGTGTAGACGAGTTTTAAAATTCTTAAGCAAAAAAAAATTACATGAGGTAAAAGATCATTTTCAACATTTCACCATAGCGAATAGAAGACAAATAGCACCCAAATTGTTAAGGATCTAGACAGCTTTATAGGATAAAAATTAAAGGGAAAAGTTGAGAGTTCTGTTATTTTTCAGTACATAAACAATTTTTTAAATTTATTTAAAAATAATCAGCTAATAGAACTCTCAATTTTTTATTAATTTTTGTGTTTAAATTTCCTTACTTCTTTTTATAGAAACTGTATAAATTTCTGAATATCTTTATAAGGATTACAGTATCGTTATAAGGTGTTTATTCAAGGTATCCCTCAATAAACTTTACCAATGTTTTAATCGAAGTTAGAAAAAGTTTAAAAGTTATCTATCAGTTTTAATAAGAATATTTCGAGAATAAATTAGAAACAATTCTGGAAATATTTTTGATTAATACTTTGTCGTTTGTTTTCGATGGCCACCTCAATTGTACATAAAATTCAGCGAAAAATTTCGACTACTTCTTTTGCTCAATTTTCAAAACTTTACAATAATAAATTAATTCGCTTTCATGACTATTTTTATGTGCATTTATTAATCGAAATACGTTCCGTGCCAATTTATTACAAACAAAATTAACTTATTATATCTATATTTATCTAAGTAGTTTGTAGTGCTTCTTTGCAAAAAAAAATGATTGTGTTATCTATATCTCGATATTCTTTAATAAAAGTTTGTTTATACCAAAATTCTACCTCATTATTTGCCATACATGAAATATATGACGTACGGTAGTAATACTAAATCTGATTTTTGCATAAACTCTTACACGAGGTGGTACTAAAAAGTTTAGGGACTAGCAGCTGTGTTTACAAGAAAGCAATTTATTTATCTACGTTTACGCACTATCCACCTTTAAAATAGTCATCTTGTACAGCAATACAGGGCTCCCAGCATTTCTCTTACTGCTGTACTGTGTCCTGGGAGTCTTCTTTTCGAATCGTCTTAAGAGCCATATCTGGCGAAATTAATAGACCGCATGAATTAATAGTCTCCCAGAAACTGGTCACACTTACCATTGATTCATGCAGTGCGATATTGCCAGATTTACTCTACAAATTTCCCCAGATCTGGGAAAAAATCGATGGAAGTATACCCAATCTTGGCGAGTAGTGTGGGCGCGGTAGTTCGATCATTTTGTTTCTAGTAAGAAACTCACCTTGCATGGTCGTCATGGAACAGCCAGTGTTTTGCGCACCACAGATCCGGTCACTTTCGTCGAATGTCCTCCATACCAGACGCCCTTAAACCTGGTAGGAGAACTCCTTATTGACGGTCTGGCTCCTGAGGACGAATTCGAATGTCAAAAAAGACGATAAGCATGCACTTGGTCGAACTGCTGACTTGCCTCGTCTTTTTCGATCGTGAAAATGATGCGTTCTGCGACTGTGAAGAATGCTGATTTGTTTCAGGGTTGTATGTGTACCGGATTTACCTAGTTTCACAAATAATTTCACGTTCGCTTGTTCTAACGTACTGTTCATTATGAAATCACAAACGTAACGCACGTGGTCAGCTGCACAGCTCCCGATAAACACAGGACAATATCTCTTGGCACACTAACTTATGAACAGTGCTCCCAGAAAAATAAAATTAAAATCACCAAAATCTAATGTCGAAAATCATCAGAAATCACCAGCAGCAGGTATGATAAAATCAACTAGATCAACTTGCCTTTTATCTAAGCTTCTCTGTAGCCTCATGTTTTTGCAATTGAATTATTTTTGGTTTTGAACTTTGTCCAATCCAATTAAATTATTTATAATATTTTTTTATAATAACTATTTTTAATTTTTTTTGCCTTTCCGACTTAAGAGTCTGATGACGACTTATATCTTACCAATACCGAACTGTCGCAGAAATTTTGTATTTTTTTTTAAACGAAAATTACATTACATATGTAATTTAAATTTTTTATTGTTATTAGGAAATTGTTCAAATTGGTAATCCCAATCGAATTCGATGACAGATGGACATATTGATAATAATATTCTTTCTTTACTGAGACTTTGTTTTAATAAGAATTCGATTCAGAACGTATCAGTTATCTTTTAAAAAATAATCGAAAGGTAATTTTTTGGTAAAAGCACCAGATCTGGTTATAAATCACCAGCGCTGACAACTCTGCTTATGAAGATAGGTGTTCCCTGTGACTACAGCCTTACTTTGCCATTTGTTGGGCGTGTTACAGAACTAGTCTGGACACTTTTTTGTTATCACCTCGTACCATAACCTCTTCCCATATAAAATATGTATTTAAATGCGATCAGATCATCCATATAGAATACAGAGAAGATTCTATGACGATATAAAAAGTGTCCACCTTTGCATTACACTTTTACGTCATATACTCAAGCTAGTAGATAGTAGATAGTCAGTTTTGATGAGAATAAACGCCATTTTTTTTAAAATAGCTTTATTTAAATGATATAAAACATTTTGATTGCACTTTTCCATCTCTTGAAGTGCGCCTATCTTTCATATCGCAAAATAGTATTTATGTCGTCTATACTTCATTATATCTATATGGATCAGTTAGAAGCAGCACATCTTGAATTGTCTCTCACTCGTAAGAAATAGTTCTCATTGTTGCTCCATTCCCTTTTATAACATTTTCATATATGTATCAATAAAAGTAGCATGGGAATATTTATTGTTACTACCTCTACTACTACTAGCTAAATTGTTAACAGAACATTTTTAATTTTGTCGTTAAAACACCAAAAAGATTTTGAATTATAATTGACTGCTAATAAATGTTTCTAGTTTCGAGATTGTTGCACATCAGGTAAATTAAATGTTACATTGTTTCGAGTAATTTAAATGTTATATTGTTTCGAGAAACATAATCTTTTAATTGTAACCAGATCAGTTCAATGGGATTTAACTCTGCGTGGTAAGGAGGCAATCTGAGAATTTAAATTCCTTTTTATCTTGGACCATCTCGTCTATAATATATTTTTTGAATATGTTTTTATGTTGCTTTGCTATTACGAGTAATTCTGCCTTCAAGGATTTGGGATTTTTAGAATGAAGCCATTTTAAAATATCTTCTTTTTTCCATCTTGTTGTAAGTAGTGACTCGTTTAATCGACTGTGATAGGATGCATTATCCAAAACAATAACGGAGTTGGCTGGATTTTTTTATAATGTTCTAAAACGAATTTTCAAACATAAGGCCATCCATTTCTTCATGGTAGTCTTTTGTTTTCTTTGACTCGAACATTAATAAACCATCTGACAAAAATCCATCGGTGCTTTCAATGTGGATTTTTTATTCCACAAGAGACCCCTTCCATAAAGGTATCTTGCCAAATTTTTGTTACTGTATGTCTAGCATTAACCCATTTTCAACTAAATAAAATGCCTGTTTGTGCTGATTCCTTGCGTCGTCCATTTTTCTTAAAAAGCTGTTTCTGTCACGTTTTTTGCAACGAAAATTTAATTCAAGCAATATTTTTTGCACATAAAAATATGATATATTTGGAAGAGTGGGGCTATTTCTGAGTGTAATTTTTTAAGTGTGGGAATTTTATTTCGAAAGAAAAAGAATGTACCATTATCCTTATTACATTATTTACCCAAGTTTCAATACAGGTCTTGTTTCTTCCTGGGGGCTTTTTCGGGGCGAAACTTCTCCAATAACTGTATCTTCTTTAATAATGTACACTGTCCGCTTAGATACTCCAGTATAGGTCTCATATTTAGTTGCTATTTCATCCACAGAAAGTAAAACAAAGTCTTTTCAAAGATTACTAAATACATTAAAGATAATGCTTTATGTCCACTAGGCCGTTTACGCGTACTTGTGCTTGCAATATTTTTTAATGCACTCGCCATTCTTATATAACTGTAAAATTTTAAATATAAATAAAAACAAAATTCCGAATCAATTAAAATACATACGAAACGGCTATGGATAAATAAAGTCTGACTTATCTGTCAAAAGAAAATGTTTATTACAGTAAAAACTATGGAAACATGATTAAATCTAAACGAAAACTCTTATTAGGCTGATCAGATGTTTTAAAATTTTCATTTTAACTACAAATAAGCATTGAAGGATGAGGTATAAATAAAATGCCTACCTCTTGAACCTGTACTGCGTTTTGCATATTAAATTACTACACCCTTTTCTTCTCTAGAATATAATTATTTGCGAGACGGTTAATATGGAATAATAAGTTGTTTTGTAGGTCACTTACTCTTTTTGCCTATAGACAGCAAAATGATTTATTTAAGATAAATATATATAAAGGAAATTATCACTATTAATAAAAAAATAACTCAAGAAGCGGAGCAGGTAAATTGTTCAAAATTAATTATTCTAAATCGATTATTCTAAATCAAATCAATTATTCTAAATCAAATCAATTATTCTAAATCAAATCAATTATTCTAAATCAATTATTCTACATCAATAAATCAAATCAATTATTATTCGAAATGCAGTTATTTGAAAGTCAATTGTTCAAAACAAATTATTCTAATAGAAATTTTTAAAACTTCCAAGTTTTTTTTTTTTTTGGCTTGGGCACTTGCCATTCAGC